TGCCTCAGCAGAGAGCACCAGTTGCCTTCCATGTCTGTCTTTGGCATGAATAATATAACTTTTTATTTTATTTCTTAAATGAATAGAAAGAGCTACAGATGAGAGAAATTGGAGGATATGGTGGTCTTAGATATTTTAGAAAACAGCTCCTTTCACAATATTAGAGCATTAAAGGGTTAGTGTTGTGGTTATGTGACGTGGTAAAAGCCCCATAAAACTGCATAGCTCAACCATACCTCGGCTTTCTGTTGAAACTGCTCTCTGTAACCCTAATGTGACAGGCAAGGAGTCCAAAACCATGCCATCTTCACCCCTGTGACTTGTAATAAGTAATTAAGGTCTGTAATTTCCTAACCAGAAAATGTATAAACTAACACTTATCTTGACTTCTGTGAATTAAGTAACAATCGGAATGTCCGAAGCCCCTCGCCCTCACCCTCACCCAGGCGGTGCTTTAAGGAATGTCCGAAGCCCCTCACCCTCACCGCCGCCCAGGAGGTGTTGTACGGGCATAAAAGGTCTTGAAACCCTCCTTTTGGGGCCATGAGTTGGAGAGACGTGAGTCCTCCATGGCCGCTGGCAATAAAGACCCTGCAATTTGGCATACTTTTGTCTTGGTGTTGACTTTCTATGCTTGCTCTGGTACAACAGTTAGTACAGACATTGGGCATTGAGGCAAGAAACTCTGTGGCACAACAATGCAGACTAATGATTTTTAGGTTTACACCTTTATTATTCCTCAAGAGGCAAAGTGTCAGTATCACCCATTAATTGAAGTTTCTCTTTCACTATTTTTCACTTGTTAAGTGTCTGGCTATCCTCTGCTCCCTGTTCTCTAACAGTTGGGGTTACCTAACCCCCACCCACAGCCCTGTAGGTGCTAGGGCAAGCTTTACCTAGATAGTTGTACCTACCCCAACCTCTGACACTGTAGGTTCCCCACCCACAGCCCTGTAGGTTATAGGGCAAGCTTTACCTAGATAGTTTTATCTATCCTAAGCTTCTTATACAGCTTTGTCATCTGTGCCACTGGTCTTGTTATTGTTTTGAAAATTTGTCCTGCCTTCATTCTCACATGAAGCTCTGAAGACTGGGCACCTGCCTTTCCCTCTGTGGATTCAATTCCCTCTCTTGGTTACCTTCCCAATACTTTAGATCCTCTGGGTTTACCCATGCCCGTGACAAAGAGAGGAAATGCAGTCTTGCCTTGAAATTCAAAGCCTGTTGTCTGGTATTAGGGGGACTTTCAGATGCCACCTTTAGCTAGTTAAAACTAGCTAGGTAAAGCTTGCCCTAAAACCTCAGATTCTCTGAGAGCACCCTATACTTTTTGTTGGCAGCATTAATATTTTGAAAAAGTATTTGTTTGAATATTTGTTTCATGTTTGTGTCTGATATTATACTGCAAGCTTCATGAAAGCATCTGTTTAGCACATCACTTCTTGACTAGGGCCTACCAGTATCTTGAATGAGCAGAGACTCAAACATATTTGCTCAATGAAGAAAAATGGGGGTGAACACGACATGGAAATATTAGCATTTTACCCATAATACTAAATATTTCTTATTAATAAATTATATGTCTAGTGACAATATTAGGTATTCTGTGAAAATAGTGTTTGTAAGGAAACCTATTGCTATTTTCTTCACATACAAAAAAAGGGAGAGGGCGTAGAATATAGTTTAGTGAAAGGGAACAATATAATGACAAGTTGTAGGCCTCTGAAGAGTCTCATTTCTGAAGATATGCCGAAGGTCTTTGAAACATTTCTTAATTGTTCATATTAATATTTATCTAAAGCTGGAAGGGTGCAACCTTTATTTTTTATTCCTTTAGAGCTAATAGTGAAATAAATTTAATTTTTATTCAAAATTTATGTAGCAGTTAAGAATATAAATGAAAATTTTTAACTTTCCATCCTAAGCGTTGTCTACAAAACTGCCAATAAAGCAGGTTCCTGCACCCTCCATCCTCACCCCATTCTGTGCACCCAACTCTCCATTTATCTCTCGTCATGTTGTCTTCAAATAATCTAGACTTAATGCAGAATGGCCTATGACACATCTGAAGTCAGCTGCTCTCAAAGAACCAAGTAATGACCCTTGTTTACTCCTCTGTGACTTTCCTTTTTCCCCTCCTGTTGATTCTTGCCTATGACCCTATAAGCAGCATTTCACAGAGGTTAATGTACAAGACTATTTGAAGGATTTGGTAAGGTTTGGGCAAAAAATCAGATTCCTAGGTCTTACCCCAGAAATTTAGATTTGATCAGTTTGAATCAGGGCCTAAATATCTGAACTCTTTTACCAACTTTTATTTTAAGTTCAGGGTACATGTGCAGGATGTGCAGGTTTGTTACATAGGTAAATGCGTGCCATGGTGGCTTGCTGCACAGATCATCCAATCACCTAGGTATTAAGCTCAGCATCCATTAGCTATTCTTCCTGATGCTCTTCCTCCTTCTACCCACAACCCTCCAACAGGCCCCAGTATGTCCACAATGCATCCATGTGTTCTCATCATTCAGCTCCCACTTATAAATGAGAACATGTGGTATTTGGTTTTCTGTTCCAGTGATAGTTTGCTGAGGTAATGGCTTCCAAGTCCATTTATGTCCCTGCAAAGAACATGATCTTGCTCATTTTTATGGCTGCATAGTATTCCATGGTATACACATACCACATTTTATTTATTCAGTCTATCATTGATGGGCATTTAGGTTGATTCCATGTCATTGCTGTTGTGAATAGTGCTGCAATGAATGTATGTCTGCATGTATACTTAAAACAGAATAATTTATATTCCTTTGGGTGTATACCTAGTACGTAATGGGATTGTTGGGTCAAATGGTATTTCTGCCTCTAGGTCTTTGAGAAATTGCCACACTGTCCTCCACAATGGTTGAACTAGTTTACACTCCCACCAACAGTGTAGAAGTGTTCCTTTTTCTCCACAACTTTGGCAGCATCTGTTGCTTTTTGACTTTTTGATAATAGTCATTCTTTTTTTTTCCTTGTTTTGAGACAGAGTCTAGCTCTGTTACCCAGGCTGGAGTGCAATGGCATGATCTCGGCTCACTACAACCTCCACCTCTCTGGTTCAAACAATATCCCTGTCTCAGCCTCCCAAGTAGCTGGGATTACAGGTGCGTGCCACCATGCCCAGCTCTTTTTTTTTCATTTTTAGTAGAGATGGGGTTTCACCATGTTAATCAGTCTGGTCTCAAACTTCTGACCTAATGATCCACCCACCTCAGCCTCCCAAAGTGCTGAGATTACAGGCGTGAGCCACCACTCCCAGCTAATAATAGTCATTCTGACTGGCGTAAGATAATATCTCATTGTAGTTTTGATTTGCAGTTCTCTAATGATGCATTATGTTGAACCTTTTTCATGTTTGTTGACCATATGTCTTCTTTTAAGCAATGTCTGTTCATGTACTTTGCCCACTCTTCAACAGGGTTGTCTATTGTTTTCTTGTAGATTTGTTTAAGTTCCTTGCAGATGTTGAATGTTAGACCTTTGTTACATGAATAGATTACAGCTATTTTCTCTCATTCTTTAGGTTGTCTGTTCACTCTGATGATAGTTTATTTTGCAGTGCAGAATTTCTTCAGTTTAATTAGATTCCATTTGTCAGCTTTTGCTTTTATTGCAATTGCCTTTGGTATCTTTGTCATAAAAAATTTGACCATGCCTATGTCCTGAACAGTATTGCCTAGGTTTTCTTCTAGGGTTTTTATAGTTTTGGGTCTTACATTTAAGTCATGAATTCATCCTGAGTTTATTTTTGTATACGATATAAGGAAGGGTTCCAGTTTCAATTTTCTGCACAGGGTTAGCCAGTTCTCCCAGCACCATTTATTAAATAGGGAATACTTTCCCCAATGCTTGTTTTTGTCAGGCTTCTCAAAGATCAAATAGTTGTAGGTTTGTGGTTTTATTTCTGGATTCTCTATTCTGTTCTATCGGTCTATGTGTATGTTCTTATCACTATGCTGTTTTGGGTACTGTAGCCTTGTGGATAGTTTGAAATTGGGTAGCATGATACCTTCAGCTTTCTTCTTTTTCCTTAGGATTGTTTGGCTATTCTGGCACCTTTCTGGTTCTATGTGAATTTCAAAATAGTTTTTTTTTTTTCCTAATTCTGTGAAGAATATTTATGGTAGTTTAAAGGAACAGCATTAAATCTATAAGTTGCTTTGGGCAATATGGCCATTTTCACGATATTGATTCTTCCTATCAACGAGCATAGAATGTTTTCCCATTTGTTTCATCTCCGATTTCTTTGAGCAGTGGTTTGTAGTTTTCATTGAAGAGGTCCTTCACTTGCCTTGTTAGCTGTATTCCTAGGTATTTTACTCTTTTTGTGGCTGTGGTGAATGAGAGTTTAATAATGAGTTGTTTCTCTGCTTGACTGTTGTTGGTATACAGGAATGCTAGCAATTTTTGGACATGGATTTTGTATCCTGAGACTTTGCTGAAGTTGCTTATCACCTTAAGAAGCTTTTGGGCTGAGATAATGGGGTTTTTTAGATACAGGATCAAGTCATGTGCAAACAAAATTTGACTTCTCCTCCTATTTGAAAACGCTTTCTTTCTTTCTCTTGCCTCATTGCACTGGCCAGAACATCCAATACTATGTTGAATAAGAGTGGTGAGAGAGTTCATCCTTTTCTTGTGTGTGTTTTCAAGGGGAATGCTTCTAGTTTTTGCCTATTCAGTATGAATATCGTAATTTTCAAAAAAACACAACAGCTACCCCTTATGCTTATGATCTATAGAAAACCCGTTGAAGAAAATAAAAAATAGTTTTGTTTTTTCATCTGGTCACTTATTGCCCAAAGTTGTCACAAGCATCAACAAATTTTGTCACTAAAACTTCCACCTATGCATAGGGTCAGCTTCAATTAAAAAATGTTTTTCATAAATTACCATTCATTAATTTAGTATTACTTTTGATAACTTATAATCATTTACAATTAATGTGAATTTATTTCTGTTTTAAACCACTTTATTTACATATGATTGACATGTAAAAAGCTATATGTATTTGGCATATACAACTTGATATGTCTGGAAGTAAGCATATATCCATGAACCATCACCATCTTCAAGGCTATAAATATCCATCACTCCCCAAAGTTTCTTCCCACTCCTTATTTATTTTTTTAATTTGTGTGTATGTGTGTTAGAAAGAATTAACATAAGCACTACTATCTTAGTAAATTTTAACAATAAAATAGTATTCCTACTTATGGTCACTATGCTGTACAGATATCCAGAACTTATCTTAAATAACTGAAACTGTCAGAAACTGTTAGTTAATGTTCTGAAAGGCATAAGTTCTTTAATTATTTTATTTTATCTGGCTGTCAAGATAATGAATACAAACAAAATGGGTTCAACTTTTGAATTTTTATATAATTTTTCTTATTCTGCCACTTTGATTACATAGGTAAAAATGTTTTCAGAGAGTGCAAAAAATAACAATATACTTCAAGTGACTTTGGCAAGATGACTAAATATGCAATAATTTTTAAAGTACATTTCAACAGTTCAAATATACAGATAAAATCTGTATTATGTTACCTTTCAACTTATTACCATATAGTACTAGCTTACCTCCAAGAAGCTTTTTTCCAGTTAAAAATGATGATAGAAATGTCATGTGTTGCATAAGACACTTGACTGAAGTATTTCTACTCATCAGACTTCTGAGACTCAACCTGCAGGTGGTTCTGCATTTATTTTAGCTGTCTGCCATATTTCTCCATTTTTAAATCTCTTTCAAGTAAAACAACTTAAAGGAATATCAGGAAGCAATTTATGGGAGATTATGTATTTATTTTAATCAACATAGATAATTAACTCGATGAGTATAATACATCATCTGGCTGCAGCTACATTCTGTGTTTTCTCATTTTAGATGAAAGACTAAAATTCTCTGTGGTTCATTAAGCGTGGTATGGTTTCCTTTCTTTTTAATTAAATTTGAATCCATATAAATAATTATTTTTCACATTAAGTACTGTTCTTCACTCCAGTTCAAGACATACTACCTCATGTTTCTAACTCATAATCATGTGCCATCTGAAATAATTTTCTATGCCTCTCAAAATCTTTATTAATTTGATTACCTTTATGCTTTGCAAAAACAAATGAAATCTATATTCTTCTAACTATCTATGTCAGGGTTGAAGCAGTATATGCTTAATTGCTGATTTTTAAGATGAGGAAACCAGTATGCTTATTCTTATAACCCCAAATTTTTGGCTCTATAATTGACATGTTTGAAACAACATAACTTTTTAATGTTATTTAACTTTCTTTCAAAACTGTTTGTATTCATTGCCTTGTTTTACACAAAATTATAATTATTTTTTGAAATTATTTATTTAAATGATCACAGCCATAAATGACTCAATTCTTATTAGTTCAAGTTGATTTTTCTATTTTAATAGAAATAAAAGCCCATTGTTAAAAGGAAGACTATCTAAAATTGTAACAGGAAAATAAAGGTCCTGTAATATCAAATAATAATATCTTTGTTTATCTTTTCACACATTTTTATACCTATATATAAAAAGTTTTGTACAGCTACCTATAGCATTTCCCTATCCTTGCTGTTACATAGTCTGCTTTCCACTTAACAATGAATCATGGGTGTCTTTCCATATCGCTATACTGTACATTTTTACATTTCAAATGTATGTGTTTATATGTATATTTATATCACATTTCAGGTTGAAGCATAACATGAAACTACAGAAATGTATTCTCCAACATATAACCAATTTTTATGAACATTTACATTGGTTTACATATTTTTGTTATTATTAGCAATACTGTGATAAATATCCTTATTTTTATGTATGGTTTCAATTAGTTCCTATAGATCTATTCCTGTAGAAAACATGCTCAATCAAAAGTATTCACTTTAAATTTTGATATATTATTCTTGATTATTTGCAAATGGTTGAACTAATGATGTATGAGTGTTTCTTCTAATTTCTGATGCTATATAATATCATAAGGGCTTTTATTTTATTGTTTTCAACCTGAAAACGATTTTTAAAAATCAGGTTTTAATTTATATTTCACTGAGTATATGGGAAGCTTCACTAGGACAGCTACATAACTTGCAGGACTGAGTGCAAAATGAAAATCCAGGGCTCTTTGTTCCAAAATTGTTAAGGCATTCAAGACTGTGACAGCAGAATATCAAACCAAGTATGGGGCCATTATCAACTATTGTCCTGTGTGAATCTGTAGGTTGGACACTCATAAAACTAACCCCTTAGCTTTTTAAATACATGTTATCCTTCTGACTTTGATTTCTGGCTACCATTTATGAGTGGATTTCACCCATTAAAAAAAAACGGGTGGGTGAAAATGGCTTTCACCCACTTAAAATGAATCTGCTATATTTTGTAATTGATTTATTATAAAATTACCATATAGTTCCACATCTGATTTATAGAAACACTTATCCAATTTTATTTATATATTCATGATTGTTTGATTTTATATATAAATATTTAATGTATTTACATTTTTGTTTATCGAGGTCATATCTTAACATTTGACCTAAAATAGACCTAAAATATTTTATCTTATCATCTATAAGTTCCCCTGTGATTAGAAATGCCACAGTTTTCATGTACCCATAGAAATTTAAGAATCAATTTCTTGCTTTTCAATGCAATTAAACTGATCTAACTTACTGATCTTTCCCCCAAATCATACTATTTTAATTATTGTAGCTCTATGATTCTACTCATTTTTCTAATTTTTCTACTATTTTCTGACTATTTAATTTTCTAACATGATTTTAATTTTTCAAGTTGTGAAAGAGAGCTCTTGAGGCTTTGATTTCAAAAATAATGACTATGTTTACCAAGGTGGATAAATGGATGTCTTTAAACATTAACTTTTTACACCTAAAATCAAGGCATAAGCCTTCATATATCTGTGTATTTTTTCAAGTATCTTGGTAGAGTATAGCTTTCTTCATATAGATCCTGCATATTCTTATTTTGTTTTTTTAGATTTAACCTCTTCAAGGAAAATACAATCCATTAATTTTGTGTATAAATTTTATGACTGGTCGCCATGCTGTTTGTTTCTCAAGATCAATTTTCCCCACCTTGCCCTGTGCCACAGGAAAAGGTCCTCTCGAACTGAATTAGTTGAGTGCCTTGTATTCTGATTTCCAGTTGGTTCCCATCAATGAAAAACAGCAAGACAAAACTGGAGAGTGAAAGGAGAGTGCAGTTAAGTGAAAGTCTTGATTAGTCCAAGGGAAAGGATTTTTTTCTATTTTGTCAGCTCAGAGAGGATATCATTTTCAATTTTCAAAGAAAATAACTTCCAAAAGAGAGGCCACATAGCCAAGTCATTAATTCTAAGCAAAATGAACAAAGCTGCAGACATCACACTACCTGACTTCAAACTATACTACAAAGCTACAGTAATAAAAACAGTATGGTGCTGGTACAGAAACAGAGATATAGACCAATGGAACAGAACAGAGGCCTTGGAGGCAACGCCACACATCTACAACCATCTGATCTTTGACAAAACTCACAAAGACAAGCAATGGGGAAAGGATTCCCTGTTTAATAAATGGTGTTAGGAAAACTGGCTAGCCATGTGCAGAAAGCAGAAACTGGACCCCTTCCTGACACTTTACACTAAAATTAACTCTAGATGGATTAAAGACTTAAACATAAGACCTAACACCATAAAAACTCTAGAAGAAAATCTAGGCAAAACCGTTCAGGACATAGGCATAGGCAAGGACTTCATGACTAAAACACCCAAAGCAATGGCAACAAAAGCCAAAATAGAAAAATGGGACCTAATTAAACTCCAGAGCTTCTGCAGAGCAAAAGAAATAATCATTAGAATGAACTAGCAACCAACAGAATGGGAAAACATTTTTGCAATCTACCCATCTGACAAATGGCTAATATCCAGAATCTATAAGGAACTAAAACAGATTTACAAGAAAAAAACAAACAAGCCCATTCAAAAGTGGGCAAAGGATATGAACAGAGACTTTACAAAAGAAGACATATATGAGGCCAACAAACACATGAAAAAATGCTCATCATCACTGGTCATTAGAGAAATACAAATCAAAACTACATTGAGATACCATCTCATGCCAGTTAGAATGGTGATCATTAAAAAATCTAGAGACAACAGATGCCGGAGAGGATGTGAAGAAATATGAACACTAGTACACTGTTGGTGGGAGTGTAAATTAGTTCAGCCATTGTGGAAGACAGTGTGGTGCTTCCTCAAGGACCTAGAAATAGAAATTCCATTTGACCCAGCAATCTTATTACTGGGTATATATCCAAAGGATTATAAATTGTTCTATTATAAGGGCACATGCACACGAATGTTCATTGAGGCACTGTTTATAATAGGAAAGACTTGGAACCAACCCAAATGCCCATATGATAGACTGGACAGGGAAAATGTGGCACATATACACCATAGAATACTATGCAGCCATAAAAAATGATGAGTTCATGCCCTTTGTTAGGACATGGATGAACCTGGAAGCCATCATTCTCAGCAAACTGACACAAGAACAGAAAATCAAACACTGCATGTTCTCACTCATAGGTGGGTATTGAACAATGGGAACACATGGACACAGGGAGGGGAGCATTGCACACTGAGGTCTGTAGGGGTAAGTAGGGAAGAGACAGCGGGAGGTGGAAGGTTGGGGAGGGATAACATGGGGAGAAATGCCAGATATAGGTGATGGGGAGGAAGGCAGCAAACCACATTGCCACATATGTACCTATGCAACAATCCTGCATGTTCTTCACATGTACCTTAAAATGCAGTAAAATATATTTAAAAAAAAAAGAAAATAACTTATGTGCTATAAGAATATTGTAGAATTCTTCTATGTCTTCTATGTATTGTGCTTCATTTTATCATTCACGTAGAACTCAGTTGAAGGGGCTAGAAAAGTATAGTGTTTTATCATCTGCTTAGTTGTTTAGCTGCCTAAGGAGAGTATGACCTACTATTTCAGTCTATCAAGCAACAAAATTTTTATTTTTTAAAGTACTTCATTAGATACTACATTTACCAGTTGTTGCAAGAACTTGCAATATGAATTATTCTCCCATATTATGGAAAATTTGCCACATTGGTGAAGAGACAAAAATGATAATAATAATAGCATGATGCTGATATTTTCTTTGTTGCATGACTGCCTATTTTCTCTGTACTTGTACCTTTTTACCAGTAGGTCTTCATTTACGGATTTTGGTCTAAGCAATTTTGGTGCATCCTTATATCCAAGTTTTACATGTCCCTTTATATTATAAAAGCCCCTACTGTTAGCCAACCACCAGACCAGAGAAGCATAACAAAGTATATTCCTATGGGCAGTTTCCTGTCTAGCCACTCATTCAGTCTGATATCCATAGTCTTTTTGCTTTGACAGGAGGTGGGGAATGAAGTCTCACTACAATACACATCTTCAGCCCAAATTGCATAAAATTAAGTAATATTAAAGAGTGTGTGTGGAATTTGAACTTAGTATTTTGTTCATCACTTCATCTTATATCTTTTGCTGCAAGAGTCCTTGTGAACTTTTTTGACAGCATAAGACAGGGACATTTAAAAAAATTTTTGTTTGTTTCTCAAGGAAGGTTTTTTTTTTTTTTTGGTAACAATCTTTAGAGTTGTGTTCTACTACTATTATTAGAAAAATCAATTCATTTTGTATTTTCATCTTTGTTTCTCCTTCTTGAATGAAAAGAGGTCATTTATGGCCTTGTATGTGCCCAAATAGCACATGGGAGAATACCTTTTTGATGTCTTCATTGCACACCTGAACTATATTTCACACACACACACACACACACACACACACACACACACACACACAATACTCCAAATATATTTTTTGGAACATTTCTTTAAAGTTTTAAACTGGAAGGCAATTAGTGTAAGTTTTAATAATAGAGCATTCTAAAAAGAATCAAAAGGAAGGTAGGGCATGAGCAGATCTAGTGGAACAATTTAATCTGTGTATGATTTCCTCTCTACCATTTATAAGGTTGCTGTTCTAGGGACCAGTTCTCTGTGTCTCCTTTTCCATTGGGCCCAGCCTTCAGTCTAGGAATATCATGGTATCCAATTACCTTTTCAAGATCAGTGCCCAAGCTATTAGGAAGAATCAATAGATCAGAGAAAAATTACCATATGCTGATTTTCTTTTTGAGTAGCTTACTTTCTTGTATGTCTACCAGTGCAGATAATTACAAAAGCTGCTTATCATAGAAAGCAAGGGTCTGGCTTGCTCGATGCTGTGTTTGCCATTGCCTTCATTCCTCCCTACTGAAAATTATGAAGTGCCAGAATTTCCTGTATTTGCTTTCTTTAATGTCATACTACTCTTAGGAAAAAGCAATGCATCTTTCCTTGATTTGTTCTGAAGTAAATTACTTCAAGTTCAAAGTAAACTGATTAGCCATGGTTCCTACACCACGTAGGCTCACTATTTTCAGGTTCTTTTAGACATTTTAGCATTTAATTACCAGGTAATTAAGAGCACTAGGTAGCCAAAGTGTTTAGTTATACCCATGTTTAATACATTTACTTTTCTGGAAGTCATTGTCAACAGCTTCTCCTTCCCACACATTAATTCTTACTAATTTTTAACTGCTTGGAGTCCTTTGTTTTTTGGGCTCGAGTTTTTACTCACTTGATTTCAGGTGTAATGTGCTTTCACCTAAAAACTGATATAAGTATTTCCAAATGTTTCATCATTTCCCATTTTCTTTTTTAACCTATATTTTCTATAGCCAATTTCATCTAGTCTTATGGCTTCAACTATATCTACTTTGTGGATGACTCTCAGATAACACTCTCTACTTTTGTACTTTCCGTAAGCTCTGGTTTACCCATGCAGATGATTTCCTGCTCCTGCTTGAATATTCTGGTAATGACTTTAGTCAAAGCAATATGCCCAATATTGAGATCATCATCATCTACCTTCCCAAATGTCTCTAACTGTTCATTCAGATGTTCATTGGTTCACTTATTCATTGTTGTATTTAGCAAATACCTCCTTTGCAGCAGGTCCTTTTGCTGGGGGTAATCAGTGAAAGAGGTAGATTAGGTAATGCTCCTGAGGAAATTTGCACACAATTAAGAGACACACATGCATATAAGAATACAAACATGATGCAATATAATAAGGCCAAGATATAATGAGTTTGGGATTGGACGAAAGAACAAAATGGGAAACCTAATCTTACCTTGGGTGTCAGAAAAACTTTTAAAAGGAGCAATGTCTAAATTGAGCACTAAAGCTTGAATAGTAATTAGCCATGCAAAGGTGAGAAGGAGAGAACAGTAGTGTGGATATAAGAACAAACATGGCACACAAGCAAGTCTAGAAAAAGAACTAACGTGAAGGGAGTATGGAGTAGTGAGTTTTGAGAGTGAAAGGGTAATCACTAGCCAAATCCATAAGCGTTCTTTATGTTGTGTTTTAGAATTTGGACTTTATCCTGAGAGACAGGGGAAGTATTGGAAGATTATAAGGACAGGAATCACATGATCAATTGAAATTTAGAAAGATCATTCTGACTGCAGTGTGGCGGTTGTATCACAAGGTAAAGGCAGGTGAAAGATCAATCAAAATGAGAGGCCTTAGATGAAAGATAATAAAATATTTCATTGGAGTGGGGATATTAGAAATAGAGAAAGGTTAAAGTAATACATATTTTGAAAAATTTGGTAATTTCTCTGTTTAAGGCCTGAGGAGGAAACAGAGGCCAAAAATTATGACTTGATCATTGAGATGTATAAGGACACTTTCCACTGAGATATAGACCAGAAGAAGAGAACAAGGTTAGGGAGGAATACTTTCCACTGAGATATGGACCAGGTTAAAGAGGAAAACTTGAGTTCAGTCTTGAACATATTATATGTGAGTATGCAGCATGGTATATGCAACATGCTTATAAATATCCTGTGGTATTTATAAGCATATATGTTTAATAGAAAGTTAATGGTCTGAAGGTTAGGAGAAATATTTGAACTGGTATTTTGCTTTAGTAATCCTCAAGACGCTGATATTTATTGAGGTCATGAAAATGAAGAGACTTCCAATAGTCAGTATGTATAATATGAGAGAGCGCCCAGACAGAAGACAGTCTATTTAAGGTCTAGAACACAGAAAAGAAGTCTACGGAGGAATTGTA